CTAATTCATGCAGTTTCTGAAGTGTAACAAGTTTACAGAGAACCAAAATTATATACAACAGACATGGAGATTTTTCTTATTGGACTAACTCTAATGGCATTATGGAGAACGAATAGCTACCTCCATCTATAGAAATTGGTTACAAGAAAAAATATTCTTAGAGCTCAGTGGGGAGAACAAAGGAATACTTGAACTTGGATATTCAAGACAATTGTTTTAATGGTGAGTTGAGAACCTTGTAACAACCTCCAGGTGACAAGACCACTAATTGTCTTTACAGTCACAAAGTCCTCTTTCCACTGCAGTCATTATTTTACAGAAACGGTGGCAATTTCCTTCAGCTGCGTCCCTTCCTGGCGAACGATTGCCTGGCGACAGCGACACACGCGTTGGTAACTTCCTGATTAGATTTCTGTAACGCACTCTACATGGGGCTACCCTTGAAGACGGTCCGGATACTTCAATTGGTGCAGAATAGAGCTGCCAGGTTGCTAACGGGGACTGGGCGTTGTTCTCATATAACTCCAGTTCTCTGTCAGCTCCACTGGCTCCCGATTGAAGTCCGGGCCCAACTCAAGGTGTTGGTTATGACCTATAATGCCCTCAATGGCTTGGGCCCTGGGTATCTAAAGGAACACTTGCATCCATATATGCCCTCCCGCCGCTTGAGATCAGCAACAGATGCCCTTCTCCGGGAACCCTCTGTGAATATTAAGAGGGTGAGTACCCAGAGGAGGACCTTCTCTGCGGTGGTGCCCCACCTATGGAATGTGCTCCCCAGAGAGGTCCGCCTGGCGCCATCGTTATTTGTTTTTTGGTGCCAAGCTAAGACCTTTTTATTTAAAACTTATTTTAAGTGTTAATTTATTATGTAGGATTTTAAAAAATTTAAGCCGAGATGCACCAGGTTTTAATATTTTTAGTGTATAATTTTTGTATAATTTTGCATGCTTTTGTTGTGAGCCGCCCCGAGGCTTTGTTGCGATGGGGGTGGCATAGAAATGTTTTAAATAAATAAATAATTTCCTTGAACTCAATGGGAAGTCATGGCATTCATGTTGGGCCCAGGTGATGTACCTTGCTGCCTAAGCTTGCATGCTAAAATTTTAGAAGATTCCCAATTATGCTGTATAGATTCCATAGTGTGTGCCTGCACAGAGACCACAATGGACTACCAAAGGAATTCATTTTGGACACCTCTCACTTTGATGTATAAGATTTCTTTGGCTGCGGCCAAATCATCAGGGCCCAAGCCCAACCACAGGATGTACAGATGACTTGTCAGGATAAGCAATTTTTTCAATTTTGTTGAAACCAGTTATCAGAGCTATAGGTGGCTGAAGAACCTACAGGGAAGACTGTGTCCTACCATTCACTTTATTTTTAAAACAATGATGGCTTATGCTGTACCACTGTGGGTCATATCAGAAGACTGCAGGTAATGCCCTTATTTTTAGATTATTGTAGTTAGTATAACTTCCATATAGTTTTCATGAACTTGAAAAAGTTTGATATATAGATTGAAAATTGAAACCTGATCCCCACCCCCTGCCACTCTGCTACAACCATTAAAGCTAGAAGCACCATATGTGCAATTCCTGTAGTTCAAGGGTTAACATGTGGCCCAGGTGTTCCCATATATGTGGGAATTCTCCACTGTTCCATAAGCATGTAGAAAATGCACACTAAATACTAATGAGGGAACTTAGGGGCTTTCTTAAAACAACCTAATTTTACTATATATTTAATGGACTGCTGTTTCTCATTAAAAATATGCAGTTAAGATAATTACAGACAATTATTTACTACTGATAGAATGCAGATTATTTGTAGTTCATATTATTAAAGAGTTTATAACTTGTTTTGTCCCTAATTGCCAGAAGCTAATATATGATGCGATGATTACTGGTCACAAATTAATTCCATTTGCCTTTAAGCTGTCATTTGAGCTTTTAGTATTCATTACTGTTACATGAAAATCAATATATGTATTAGAAAGACCAGTTTCATGCCTCTAGCTATAGTTCTTTGAAAGATTATTCCTGCATTCATTCCTACAAAAGGATTCTGCACATGTGCAGAGTTCTGTTCAGAAGGCACCAGAATCAAGTATTTTTTTTTGGCATCCTCTGATCTGTTTGCATATGCTTCATGGCAAGAGTGGGGAACCTCTTTCAGCCTAAGGGCTGTACAGATTTCAGTGAAGCTACTGGGGATTGCATTTCAGTGGTGGGCAGAGCAAAAGGGACAGGAGCCAAAATAATATAAAAAACCCCCTCACATATTTAAGCTTTAAATTCTTACTGCCAGTAACTAAGCCTTAGGGAAAGGCATACTGACCTTTTAGAAAGGAAACCATGCAAAAGCTGGAAAATAATGAAATGGATTGTGGACAGGGGAAAGGGGATGTGAACATGCTGGGAATCCTGAAGGCCAAACTGGAACCCAAAGGGCATCAACATTTAGCCCATTATCCTAAGGTTGCCCACTCCTGCTCAAGGGCATGGTTCTTGCTCTTCCTGTTCAGCAGACCATATAGATAGTGAACATATAAAGACACTAACAGGAATAGGTAGGAAGAATCCCTACACTGGGGATGGAAAGTAGATCATATGAATGCAGACATGAATGTCTGAAGTTAGAAATAAGTAACTTGTCTTTCTTCATAATCTTTGTGTACTAGTGAGCCAACTCTGTGCAGTAGAGTAGATAGTCGTTACACAATGAAAGAGAGTGCTGTTTGTCCAAATGCAGCATCAGCTCTAGCATGCACACCCAGCTTTTCCTGCTGGACGAAGCTGTAAAGTTCAGACAAGGAGCAGTCCTACGGAGATCAAGAAATGACATACTTATCAGAAAGGAAGAAAAAGAGGTTGTGAACTCCGGAAGGCACTAGTGAGACATCTCATAGTGCACTGCAACTTCAGAGACCACCTGGCAGGGAAAACTATGACAATGCCAGCAGACCCTTCTTAGCTCTATCTTCAAGGTTGTCCAGACAACCGTGGAGTCTGGCAAGAGAGCATGGTCCAGTATAGGTATGGTCCCCTGAGAACTTACGGGGAGAAAATGGGTTAAAAAAGAACACAGGGAGCATTATGCCCTCGGCTTGTGTGGAAGGAAAATACTTAGGAAAGGAGGTTATCTTAGGATGGAAAGAAGGAAATGCCAGGCTGGAGGACTGTTATGTTCCTATGGAGCACCACATACTGTATTATAAATTATTTATTGAATGTATATGCAACATTGTAGTCGAAGAAATCAGGGTGATACATTTAGGAAAACTAATACAACTAACTCAAAACAATAAGAATTTAAGGACTGTAGCAGCAGGACTGTACCCTCCCTCCCCATGAGGGGGCCGGAACCCAGAAGAAGCAGCCCTCAGACCCACTGAAGTTGCCCACCCTTGATTTAGGGTCTACTCTAGGCTCAAATCCTATAAGCTATTGTTATAGGATTCACGTTTTAAGGACAATAAATAATGTTACTGCTGTTGATCTCGAGACCCAACAAGATAGTCTCTGGGGAAGAGTGAGACAATTTGCATGCCATGTGGATCAATATGGAGGTTCTGTCTGTAGGGGCCAAGTCTTGAAGCTTGGCTGAATCTAAACAGGCTCCTATGAATGGTAGAATGGGCTAAGATGTGAATTAGTTCCCGCAAAGACTGAGATGAAGCAGAAGTATAAGCATGATCCTGATGTGACAGAAGAATTGCCTGCAGATAGACATGCCCATCAGCCAATCATCCTTATCAGGAAAGAGTTTTGTGCCTAACTGAAGAAAATGAATAACCACTACCACTACACTTTCATAAATACCATGGGGACCATGTTGCGCATGAAAGGAAGAATTCTAAACTGGCAACAACAGTAACCCATAGCAAAATGCAGGCACTGCCTATGGCCCAGTCAGACTGAAATGTGGAAAAATTCAGACCTACTGAGGGGAGCAAATCTCACTGCTCCAAAAGAAAAATAAAGAAGTACAGAACTCCTCCTCCAGATATTCCACCATGCCAACCAAGGACAGAGGTTATACCTCATCTTAAGTATCAGGAACATCAAGCAGGGGGTCTGTAGGAAATGCCTGGGAAGAGAGAGTAACTTTTATACTGATCTCAAATAATCTGCTTAATCTTTGACAATTAGACCCCAATAGTATCATTCTTATTATATCTTACCCATTAAATTCGGGTAATGAAATAGCCACCATTCCATGAGGACAATTTGTTACTAAGCTACCATTTTCAATAGTAAAATATCTCTTATTTTATGAATGGAAACAAAGCACACCTTCATCTATCAATAAAACATCAACATAGTAAAACAAAGAGATGCTCCATACTAAAGCTCATCTTTCATTAAAGAAAAGTCTTAAAACTCACCGTGGTTCTCTGACTTGAACTAAGCACGCTACTTTGATCAAGTGAGTACTCAAGCACAGGTCACATAATAGGGCAGCTTTCATCCCTCCACTGTTTGCTAGTATATTTCTTTGTACAAGGTCAAAGCAAGTAAGTACCTGTCTGTAAACATTCACTGCTCTCCAGCAAACTAAAACAACAATTGGCAACAGTTGGCTGTTTAGGACATGATTTAAAACAGATTTGGAACTCTACTATATTGTCATGCTATGCAAGCTACGTTTCCTCTTAAAGCAAATCTCTCTCCCTTTCCAGATAGCTTGTGTCAGCTTTTATTAGCACAAATAGCTGCTAGAAAAAGAGACCCAAGGCATTTTGAGAAATAAACTAACAGTAGAAGTTTCTTTTTCTTGTGGATACATTTAATAGAAATGGTCATGAGCCGTCCTGTCACAGTACTATTACCAGTCGAGAGCTCCAAGCAATTCATGTTGTGAAACAGAACATTCACATTTAAAGCTTTCATATCATTATTCATTCATAGCCATTTTATGCTTCTGAAACATACATTTTAATTACACATTGTAATATATCTTTAAAATATACGTTATTAAGAGAAAAAGGCTCTTACTTTTTCAACTCCTAAGCATTTCAAAGGTTTTTCAGGTTCTCTATCTTTCTTTTTCTCTTCCTTCTTCTTTTCCTTTTCCTTCTGTGGGCAAGATATTCAGTTAGCAGTTATTACATACAGATAACATTTAAAATATCAGCAACCATTATCATGATAAATGATAATTTGAATTAGGATTTCAGAAATCCTCCTGTTGAGAATTGCAGAGTTATGCTATGTTTTGTTTTTGTTTGCCTTAAACAATGTCATCTTCAGGTTGCAGTAGCTGTGCCCCTCTTGGCTCTTCAAATGCCTGATAAATGATAAGGGTTTTGCCAGATAATTTCCTCAACCCTCAGCCCACATCAACAAAATATAGCACTAATTGCATTTGGGGTTAGGTTGTGACCCTAGCCAAGAGTGCCTCACTGCAAGGCAATCCTGCATTTGAAAAGTCTTTGCTCTGCCTGAATGTTTCCCCCCTAGGAGGTTTCAGTCAGCTTAAGAATGATGTTTGGCTCTCAACAAGCATATTTAAAGATTACACTTTCCTGAGGTTATATGTAACAATAAAATGTACCTAGCCTAGTGGCCTTTTCTCTGCATAACAATAGTTTGGCCTAAAAATTGAAAAAAAGACTTGATCTTTTCTTGAATTGATTATAATTCTGATTGATGGAAGTTTTAACTCAGATTCTTACATTTCAAAACCGTCTAAAAGATTTGCACTTCAGTTTCTTTTCTTCCTTTATTTAGGGCCTAAATGGGCACCTAAATCTAATGTTATGCAGATCTGGAGGACTTGTGTGTCCAGAGCATGTTTTTGGTTTATCCCTGCCCCACCCACAGGAAAAAAAAAAGGCAGGCAGGAGGCTGAAAAGTAGAGACTTTGCAGACTAGACACTTTGTAACAATGTCCTAGAAAGAAAAGTCTGTAGGACTACTTATATGTAAATTAGAATACAGAATGTGAGCTTGGAGGGTTTCCGTTACCCCATGAAACCTCATGATAGAATGAGGTTAAAGTAGCACACAAAAGGACTATGAAACAATGTTGGAGTAACCTTTCCTGTCTCTTGTCAGTTTGCACCATTGTTTATCTTTATATCTGCACTGAAGTTAACTGAAGTTAGTGTTAAGCAAGTTGTCTTACAACCAGGTTTTACAGTCCCATTTCAAACACTGTATTATAAACTCTGGTTATCACTGCTGCAGATGTAGCATTTAGACCATGCTCAAGTTCACAAATGAATAAAGAGGGATAGCAGTTTGCTGATGCTTGGGATCCCATTTGCAGGGGGCAATTTTATGATGGAGACCATAGTAAGGAAACCATCCTAAACTGGAAAGAAATGCCACTACAATAAAGGGGACCTACTCTGAATTAATTGTGTTTGGGGCTGAGGCATCACACACATCAACGTTTACAAGCACACCACCAACTGCAAGTAATGACAGAACAGTCGTAACCAGTGGAAACATTCCTTTTCAAGATTAATATCACGAATTTGCCAACTCTGGCTGAAAAAGAGCTATCTATGCAAGGTGAGATGTTTGATACTTGTTGGAAAAATCTAAGTTAAAGCTATGCAAGAATCAGAAAGTAGTTTTTATACAGAGATGTGGAAGAATATTCAAAGACCCTTACTTTATTGTAAAATAGCAGTGCAAAAAGAGGGAATAAAAGTAACCACACACACATCTCATGCTGGATTATGGCATTTCAGCTGAATGGTTCTCCTCAGCTGAAGTTGGAAAGAGAGGAACCACAGTGATTGCAGTTTAGCTTTAAAGGCTGCAGTCTTCCCACTGATAAATCATGGTGCTGGCCTAGATAATGTATTACACATTCTTGTTTAAATCGAATATATAGAGCATCAGCACCCATAGATAACATGAGCACTAGGAAGACAGGATACCTCTATTTTGTTTTTCTCAGAAGCAGCTTGCAGAGAAGGAGAGGATGCCAGAGGCTGAGCAGCATCAGAGGAAGACATCTGTTCAAAGCAGATGAAAGATAAGGAGAGAGAACAAGGCAGATTTTAACTAACATGCTATAGAACATCCATCAATATATTGCACTGCTTCCTATTAATCTTCAAAGATACAGGTGAAATGCAGAAAAGAAAGGAATTAGACAAAACAAACAAAATTCATGGATGCCTTGGACTACAAGTTTATGCTGTCTTTGATACTAAAAGCATATATTGCATTCCAATGAGGTTCAGGAAGGTCTTCCATTGTTCAGTTAGTATACTGAAATGTGGGCTGCAAAAACAAACTAGTGTTCAGAACAGACCACAAAGCCATTTAGCCCTTTGTCTTTTTAAAATTTACTAGAGCTATTTTTAAATGTTGAAAAATGATCAGGTAACAGTGAATGCTTTATGGATGAAGTTTCTAGAATATATAAAAAAGAAATTTACTTGGGTGAGATCACATCACAAGCATGAGGGAAAATAATTAAGTTTCATTCATTGTTCAGTTTTATCCAGCATGACTGTTGAAATATTAATGCCCTGAAACTAAAAAAGAACACTGTCCCATGGGGATGGAGAAGGTGGTGAAGACGCCTCTCTAACATAATTATTTATTTTATTTTTGCTCATTCTAGCAAAATTAATTATTTTATGGATAAAGCAAAATAACTCAGAATTATAATTAAATTATAATTAAACCCCTTAATTTGGAAAGAGCAAAGGAAAAATTAATAAGGAAGAGCCTTCTAACCACAAACCACCAGGCATATTATAATACAGTTTATATAGTATTATGAATATCTCTACATGTAACTAAAATCAGTAGAGTACTTTTCCGTATTATTCAGTCTGCATATGAAATGATGCAAGTATAACATGAAAATAAGTTTTAATTAGAAGTATTTTCAGAAATTTTCATATGCTCCTAACATTTTTGAGATCTTGTGTGTTGGAACTTATGGGTTCAGAAATCTCACGTACCCAAGCCTTACAATAAGGATCAGAAACTAGGTAAGACAACTTCAGAGCCACCTCTTACATCTGATCATGATGCATTTGCTCAGGTAACTCCCACCTTTCCTGCTTCACTCACACTAGAACAATAGAAGCACCAGGTGGATACAGTAGAAGGGACAGAAACTTAATTGCAAAATCTTGTGGCTCCAACAGTTTTTCTTATTGGTAAGCAGCACTGCTTCGTACATTATTACCCATCCCTATGCCAAATTTGTTGTAAGTCTGTCCTAAGAAAACTAATTTGTAGAACTACCCCTCAAGACTCCTAAACTAGCAGCATGTAATGCATTTTCACAGATTCAATGGTCAGGAATGGTCACTGTGTAAGAAAAAATAAAGCTCTCAGCAACAATGCCATTTCCTGCTTCTGATGCTGAATGTATGAAGCAACCCTGCAATGAGTCTGAACATTATTCATTTAGGCCAGTACTAGCTCTATTGGACTGGCAATGGCTTTCCATATTGTGAGGTTCCAGCATTAGGCTTGTTATGAAAGACAGTTTAAACTGGAAAGTCCAATAAGTGAATCTGGAAGCACCAACATACAAAGCATGTTGAGTAATGGCCTTTCCAATCTGTATCACCGTCACCAGCTTCTGACATTAGTAATAAGTACCAGTAAGTGAGAGGTGATGTTACAAGTTTCTGTCAGCACTTCCTTTTACCACCTGAAACTGTAATACTTCTTCATTCAGAGCTAACACTGAACCACCCAGGGGGAGAGGACCCTCCTCTTCCTTCACCACCACTTCTTTTGTTGTGCCAGTGCATTAGGGGCAGCAAAGTAAACAATCTTGTCCATCAATATGTAAGATGCTGCAGGCAAGATGGCCACAAAGACTGCCCATACCACCATTTCTTTGCTGTGAAGACTACAAAGACTACAGAAATTTCAAGAGGAGTAGCCAAAACATTTGTTAGTCTTTAAGGTACCACAAGACTGTTCTTTAAAGTGTCTTTACTTTCAACTCACTGAACCAACTCTTCACTTCATTTCACTCCTTTTTTTTTAATGTGCTTTGTGAACCACCCAGAGCGCTCCAGCTGTTAGACAGAATAGAAATTACACACTTACACACACTTTTTAATTCTTATATTATAAATTGTTTTAATATCTGTAAAAGGCAAAAGAACAATCTAGTAAAAATCCCATGTACAAATATGACATAATATTGTTGGTAGAGGTATCTCCATAAAATCCCAAAAAATATTGGATTCAAAGAGACAGGTCTCGGATTCCCACTCTAAGTAGGTATTACAGCATTTATTTCAATCAGACAAGTGTAAAAATGTTATTTTATTTACACTTCACTTCTTGCAAAAATAGTAGAGTATGTAACTGTGGTTAGCACAGTAAGGAAAAGACAGTACATAATGAATGTACAGAAATCATTGCTATGAAAATGGATCCAACACACTAAATAAAAAAGCTTTCAAAGAATTAGACACCTTCACAGAGGTTATTTTTAGCAACAGCCATAATTGAAAGCTCCATATTAAGAGGTAGCTACTGGACAAGCTTTCTATTGGACAAGCGATCATGTTAGGGAATGTTGAAAGCAGTAGCAGAACAGGAAGTACAAATATGGGATTGATCCTTTCATAAAGAAAGCCACAGCTCTGATTTTACAAGATCAGGGCTGTCAAGGACAGGATTTTGGAGGACATTAATTCACAGGGTTGCCAAAAGTCAGGCAACTTCACAGCACAAAAACAAATGCCTCCCATGCTCAGCTATGTAAACGCATGGCCACCAAGATGATATGCTGAAGTAGATGCATCTTCATTTTGACTGATATATTTCTTTTAGCCAATTATATTTCAGGTAATTATTCCACATGCCCAGGCTTCCTTCCAGTAATGGGTCTGATAAATCATGAATAAGTACCTTAACTACTCTGTGCTTAATTTTCCAGCCTGTTATGCTCTTGTACCTTTATTCCCATACACCACTTCATATTTTCTACTGTACTTTACTGAAGATCCTCCCAATCTCTGTACCGACAGTTCTGAACTATACGACTATCAGAAGATTTTCATTCTGGAAAGTCATTAGCTCATCCAGATCCAGAGCTGGAACCTAGCAACCCGTCTCCAACTGCGTATTGTTTGAAGCGGTGAAGCTCCCAATTGTAGAAAAAATGCAATTTCAGCTTTAACTACAGAAACAAGTCCTTGTAGGAATCTACAGCTCTAAGTTCTCTTCAATTATATACTCAATTAACAATCAATCAATTTCCATGAAAGTCATTAACACCAATTATTTAATTAGTGATGAAGATAATTTTCCCATGCTTCTGTACAAAAAAAAAAAAAAAATCCTTCTTTTAAGATATGGTCAGCCTCACTGTATATACTAAGGATTTCTACATATGAACCTCCTTCTTAGAGGAACTGAACATTATTTTATAGTATGTATAACTATTTCTCCACATGTACACATTAAAAGGAAATATAAAAGAAAATAATTGCTTACACTGGTGACATGAACTGCATTTTTGTCATAATATTTTTTCTTCTCATATTTATCCCTGATGAAGAATTCCACAGCTCTGAAATCAAATAACTTAAGGAAAAGATAGGAAATAGACAAAATTAAAGAGGTTTATGGTACAGAACATTTAATTTTTAGTTTGCATTCCAAGTAAGTTTTAAAGCTACAATTAAACTGCTGAAAATATTAACACACGGGTTCAATTTTAATTAATATTTTACACAGGTCTCATTCTGCTTCCTGACCCTTAGCTGAGCCCCAGCTGGTTTAGGAACTTTATAAACAAGCAAGCTCCCAGAGAATGAGCAAAGCAGGGAGAGCTAACAGGAATTACACAGCTGAGTTCAGCAGGGAAGGTTAACGGGAAAAACCCTAACAATTTATTTATTACAACACTTATATATTAGTAGGACTTTGCTGTTAACCTTCAGGGATGACAGGACATAGCCCAGGCCATTCCAATATAATCAGTAAGGTAGAATAAAAAAGAGAGTAGACACTATGTATGGAAAAGACTTGTCCAGTGATGGCAACCTGCAATGTATGTGCAATGCTTGTTTTCTTGCCTGAGATTGGCATGGTCCATGCACATAGCAAGTGCTAACCGACTGCCCTGTTGGAAGAAAATTGAGATAGCAGTGGAGTGGCCAGTGTACATCCTCAGGGGAATAAGAGAAGATGAAGAGATCTTAGAGCAGTACAACTACCACAGCAAAGTAAAGGAGCTAGAAGAACACCAGGAAGCTGAAACAGAAGAGGAGAAATCTGAGACAAGGGGAAATGAAGTAGAGTAAACTCCCTGTAAAAGGGAGAGAGAAGTAGAAGACATGTTACACTAGAGGAAACAGTAGAACTATGGAACTGCTTTGCAGATGAATTGAGAGCAGCCTGCAATGAAAGTATTACAGGACACCCCATGCAACAAAATCAGTCAAACTGAGGAAACAATACCAAGACCTACAACAACAACAACAACAACAACAGAAGGGTAGCAGCTGGGAAAGACTCCCTGCTGTGTGATATGGAAACCTATGCAAGTCACAAAAGACCCATGGACTCACCAGATATGCTGGTTGTTTCCTTAGATGATAGATTAGAGATGAGACGGAAGAGTTGTCAATGCTCATAAAACTTATCCTTCTTTCTCACCCATGTGAGAAATGCTATCAAGCAAAGCTTTGAACAAATCATGTCAAAAATCGTATTTGAGGCTTTGGAAAAGAAACTCAGGAACTTTGGGGCCCAGATACTTTTCTCATCCATCCTTCTAATACTTGGAAGAGGAATAGAAAGGCAAGAAAAAAGTTCCAGGTGAATGCCTGGCTATGAAAGAAGTGCCAACGTAAAAGATTTGGAATCTGGGACCACAGGCTACAATCCCTGGAAGATGGACTGCTGACAAGGGAGAAGATTGTATCTTACAAGGGCTGTAAAGAATGTATTTGAACACAGCATGAAGAAATTCAAGACCATCTTACAACTTTCAGCTGAATCCTACAGGTGTGGGAGAAGTGAACTTGCTGTAACAATGAACAAGGGCTTACGCAGCACAACAGAGACAGCTGTTCTAATAGCATCCACAAACAGTCCTCCATAGAATGCAGGGGAAAACACATGGACTATAAAACACATGGACTTCCATTTCTACATGCCAATGCGCAGAGTACAGGAAACAACTGCAAAAACTTGAATCTTAATACAGGAAGTCGAATATGACTTGACAGCTGTAACTGAAACTTGGTTGGGATGACTTGTTATGACTGGAATTCAGCAACCAAAGGTTGTAACTTGTTCAAAAAAAAAAACCTGAAGGAACAGAAAGGGAGGAGGAATCAGAGTATAAATTAAGGGTGCATATCTCTGCACAGAAATACAACCAGATGATCTTAGTAGTTCATCAAGAGCATCTGGATTAAAATAAATGGTACAAAGAATAAAAGGAACATCAGAGTCTACTATCAACCACCCAGTGAAGGAGACATTGAGGATGAAACTTTTGAAACGCAAATTGCTAGTGTTTCAAGGAAGCATGACATAGCCATAATGGGGAAGTTCAAATTTCCCACTATCTGCTGGGAGAAAAATTGTGCCAAACATGGCCCCTTCAAGAAATTCCTGACTTGTGCGGCTGACATAAAGTAGAGGAAAGAACTAGTGGATCAGCTCTTCTTGACTTGATTCTAACCAAAAGGGATGGCCTTGAGGATAAATGGCCATTACAGGAATTCTGGGGGAAAGTGACCATGTCATACTTGAATTCTTGAAGCAAAAGTTGAGCATAGTCAAATACATACTCTGAATTTTAGAAGAGCCAATTTTAAACTAAGAAAAGTAAGTAAGGTCCCATATCAAGCAACTCTATTGAGAAAAGGAGCCCAAAATGGGTGGAAAAAGACAGAGACAATGGAAGAAGCCCATGCGGCTTCATAAAAAGCTTAGGGATGATCTGAAAATAAAAACGGACACATAAAGGAATGGAAAGGAGGCAAGACTTCTAAGGAATGGTAAAGGTAGGTAGCATGGAATTTTAGGGCTGGTGTTAGGAAGGCTAAAGCTGCAAATGAGCTCAGTTTAATGAGGGATGCCAAAAGCAACAGAAATCCTTCTCCAGATACATGCACAGTAAAAGGAAAGAAACGGTCAGTCATCTACTCAATAAGAATAGCAAAATGATAACAGATGACAAACCGCAGAAGTACTCAGTTCCTAGTTTGACTCAGTCTTCTTTCTATGATCTCTCTGACAAAGGTTAAGTATGAGATGAAAGGGCAAGACAGTAGCTTGAGATTGATAGGCAAATGGTCAAGGAACACTTCATTATCTTTGAACAAATTCACATCTCCAGTGCCTGAAGTAATGAAAAATCTTGCACAAGAACTCGCAGATCCACTGTCTACTATCTTTGAGAAACCATGGGGGATGTGCCACATGACTGGAGGAAAGCTGATGTTATTCCTCATTTCAACAGATGAAAAAGGAAGACCCTGGGAAATGCAGACAAGTCAGTCTGACATAAACCCCTGGGAAAATTCCAGAGCAGATCATAAAGCAGTCAATCTGCAAACACCTTGAAAACAGTATAACAATTACTAGAAGCTGATGTGGAATTCGCAAGAACAAATCCCACTAGACTAATCTAATTTCATTTTTTCATCAGATAACCTCTGTGGTAGACTGTGGACTTGCTATAACCCGACTTCAGCAAAGCTTTGCCCCATGATATCCTGATTAACAAACTAGCTGAAAAGGGGCTAGACAGAACAACTATCAGATCCATAGTAATCTCCACAATCAGACTCAAATGGCACCTTCTCTAACTGGGAAGAAGTAATGAGTGCAGTACTGCTCCATACTGGGCCCAGTGTTGTTCAACTTTTTTATTTGGATGAGAAGATGCAGTGAATTTGCAGATGGCACAAAATAGCTAATAAAATGGGATAACTAATACCCTGGAAGAGAGCAGCAAAATCCAAAGTGATCTTGGTAAGTTGGAGACCTGAGCTAAAAATAGCAGAATGAAATTGAATAGAAACAAATGCCAAGTTCTGCACCTAGAAAAAGGAAATCAAAAGTATGTTATAAAATGGGGAACACTTGGATCTAAAATGCTACAAGTGATAAAGATCTGAGAACTGTTGGAGAACATAAACTGGATGAGTAAAAAAAAAAGTTTTATAGCCGCAAATGCTATATTTGGCTGCATTAAGAGAATTAACACTTTCAATTTACATGAAGTACTTGAGTACTGCATCCAGTTCTGGTCACCAGTTTAGGAAAGATGCAGATAAACAGGAAAGGGTTCAGAGGAGGGCAACCACAATGATTGGGGGATGGGCACAAAGCCACTTGGGAAGAGACTGGAAGAATTAGCCATGCTTCAACTTGAGAAGACTGGGAGGAGATATGGTAACATTCCTCAATTATTTGAAATCTGTTGCACAGAAGTGAGCCAGGATCTCTTCTTGATCATCCCAGAGTGAACATGGAATCAAGTTACAGGAAGTCAGATTCTGAGTAAACATCAGGGAAAACTTCCTGCCCGCTAGGAAAATATATCAATGGAACCATTTACTTAGGAAGCTGAGCTCCCCTACACTGGATGCATTCAAAATGAGGCTGCACAGTTATCTGTTAGGGAAGTTTTAACTTGAATCCTGCATTGAGAAGAGGGTTGGACCCAATGGCCCTATTGGTCCTTCCCTACTCTGCAATTCTGTGATTCCACGAATGCTTGATTTTACACCAGCACCTCTTAATATCTTTGACAGTGTAGCCTAAGTTATTTTTAACTACAACTAAAAATGCATGTGAGGAGTATTGGCGAGCAAAAAACAACCCCTCCCCGCCACAACCCTCCATTTAATTTCTCCCTAATGTTTCTAGCTCATATTCAGGCCAAAGAAGGAGGGGAGGTATTTCCTTGACTAATACAGTCACACTAGCCCTAGCTGCTATGCACAATTAATGCCTCTCTACTTGCCATCAAAGGATCAAGAGGAGTGAAGGGAAAAATAATTGTTCTCATAGTTCCTGCTGGCAAAGAAGGCTTCAAACATGTTTGGAAAGCTTCACTGAACAGAGCTTGAAGTTAATACTTCATTACAGGGAGCTTTAAGAGTCCTTAGCTTCAGTCAGTCTTCTTGACTATCATTTCCTCTCACCCTCAATTTTGGTTAGTTGGAGGAAATCCAAGATAAGGGGGCAAAGAAAGCACAAAACAGTTACAAACATAGTTGATTTTTAGCCTGGTGTCTTTAAGGCCAAATCAGCTCATGCATTTTTGCACTGAACATCATCCTTTAACATGTGCGACCATCACTAAATTCAATAGTCTTACTATGCTAGATTTGGCTCGTCATCCTCTCTTTGTTATGTGCACTAGGACAGATGTGCAACAGGAGTGCTTTGGTCCTTTCCCATAAGACTCTTCCCATATACTACATTGACAGGGATCAAAGAATTGTCAGAGATAGGGGGAAAATACTGAGGCAAATGTCTTATTTGCAATTCTGTTCAGTATTAAAAAGTCAATATATTTATTAAACTGAACTCCTATCACAATATTTTCCCCATATCCAACAGTTTTTAACCATTTGTTACCTCTGAGCATATTATTTTCTGGGAAAAAAATGAAAACGTCTCCCAGTTCATGGAAAAATGACTGTTTAGATATTTTTTCCTCTCCTTTTCAACGCTTGACATTTACATTTAGCCACCATGCTGCATGCATCCATAGCAAAAGCCTTATCTTGTACTTACAAATACTCCAACCCTCTTCCAGTATGGGAATACACAAAGGATACTGATCTGTTTGAGGTCTTCGAAAGTTCTCTGGTAGATTTGCTTCATACAATAGCCTTGCCTTGGTATTTCCCATCTCCTGCATGCACTAAAATCAATGACAAAAGGAGTAAAAGGTTATTGAAAGTTTTAATTCTTAACTGTACATATTTTAACATAGAGCTCCTGAAATATAGTTCCTGCATGCCTAACCATGTTTATGTAAGTATTGTCAGGATCAATGGGGCTTTGAGTTAACACAGTTAGCAATAGCTTGCAAACTGCTTAAAATATGTAAAGTCAAAGTTATAACTTTCACTGTCTTGGATGATGCCCCTTCTCCCCAGTATCACAATAGATTTTAGAATTTGTTTTGATAACTTTGTAATATATTCTGTGAAACCAGCAAGAGAAAGCAGCAGCACCTACATGCTTTGCATACTATCTGCAGGACAAAAAAAGTTGGAAAAAAACCCCCTAATGTAAGAATCTTTACTTTCTTGCTGACCTTGCAGGAATTAAACTGTTACAAGTGCAAACTGAGATTACAAGGGGAAATTTAAAACATATTAATTAATTAATTAATTAATTAAAACATTTTTATGCCGCCCCATTCGCCGAAGCCTCGGGGCGGCTTACAACATAGATAAAACAATAAGTTAAAATCCATATAAAATACATTCTATCAGAAGAAGAAAACAAGTTTGTTTGCATCTATATCCCATTTTGTTATTTCCCCTTTGCAGCAGATAATTACATTTTAAGCAAAAGCAACATAAAACCATAGACTAACTTTAAGCTGAGAGGAAGCTTCCCCAAGAAAATGTTTTCTGAACAGAACAGGGTTTAGTTCAGTGGTGTTGAACCTATGGCATGTGTGCCACAGTGGGCATGCAGAGCCCTCTCTGTCGGCATGCGAGCCAAGTTGTGCCAGCATTGCCTCAGCAGCTGGGCATCGGATAATAGTGCACATATGGGCTGTGCGCATGCTCGGAAAGGAGTAGCGGCACCAGGTGATGACGTCATGAATCGGGGCTAATGAGTCCATGCTTTCGCATGGTCAGTCAGTGTGCTGCCATATTTGCTTGGACTGTGAGTTGTTTTTTGCTAAACTAAAAAAAAATTTCAGGTTTTATTGTAGTATTGGCACTTTGTGATAAATAAGTGGGTTTTGGGTTGCATTTTGGGCACTCGGTCTATAAAAGGTTCACCATCACTGGTTTAGGTTTAATTGTATAATGGATTGATATGAATGTGTAGTAACAAGCTGCATATAAATTTATTTTGATGCAGTAGGGTTACAGTGCTTCTAATATGATGTTAAATGTTAATACTTGCTTCTTCTTAGGATGAGATCATTTGGTTTTTCTGAGTGATGAGAATGTAAAGCCCTTGCTGAAAATGCTTCAACTATCTTAATCCATAAGGCTAGCTTGCATATCACACTAAACTATTATTTAGCACTACATGTACAAGCTCCAAGAAGTTCAGCAAAGCAGATGGGCTTCCATGCTCACCTTTCTTCTTCCCACAGAGCTTGGAGGACAGCTTCAGCAGAACTTAATTTCACTTTCCACAAATCTTGGCTTGTCCTTACTTACAAACCAGAGACCATGCTTTAAACTAAACTCTGGTCAGTCTCTAAATAAGTTGTTCCAGCAGTTTGAATCAGAAGAAACATGAACAAGTCTTTGCAAGATTTGCAAAAAAAAAAAAAAAAAAAAATAGACCAGTGGGTGAGCAAGAAGATATAAATAATGGCTGAAGGACTGTGATAGCATGTCTTCAAAGATTTTATGTTAACAGAACTGAAAGTAGAAGCATTTTCAAGCAGTCTTCCAAAGGTAATTATGTCATAAGAAGCAGGCATAAAAAGTAGTGAAATCCACAAGTGAAGCAGATGTGGTAGCTGCAGCATAGTACACTACTCAAATGTATGCTACAGCAGGTCTCTTTCCTTTTTTAAAGTTCCTTTATGACAGAAAAGAGCAACTCATTTTACCAATTTTGCTTTCAAAGTCAACTTTCCAGAGTTTTCCTCCCAGCCCTGCTGATTTTTTTTTTTTTACCTGTATTTGTTCTGGCGTCCATTGGTCCAAGTTGACAGATTTGACTCTGGATATATGAACTCCCAGATTTCGATGTATTCCAGCACATCTGATACAAATAAAGACACCAGTGTTCCAGGAAGCCCATCGTGGACCTAAATAAATTAATATATTGCAAGAACTATCAAGTTAAGTCAGGTTTTTCTTCCAGGTATCTAAAACACAACTCTGCTTTACATCTTCATGTTTGCCATCCTTGCATCCCACTTGCACATATTGTTATTATATTTACACCAGATATAATAACTTTAATTTTAGATACTTGCCCACTCACATAGCATCATAAGTTGCTTTTCAAACAGTTAGGAGAGAAGGATGGGGATGGGGAACAATCTGCTATATTTCAAGAGTGCCCTCCCACCCCACTCACTGAATCAAGGCCAAAGTCCTGAAGGCACATCTAAAGTTCACAGTTAGACAAATATTTCAAAAATGCACTACAAGAAACTACCAGTGGCATGTACAACAGTCTGAGAAACTGTTTTGAGCCTCAGCACAACATGATTGCCATGGGACATGCATGGGGAAGGACAACCGGTCCAAAAGACTGAGTACAAGGCAGAGGTAGGGTCTAAGCCACAACACAGGAAACATCATCTTTGAACCTATTTTCAGAATTAGCAAAACCTACTTCACAGTAATCCTAGTTAACAGTAAGAAAATGCATTGGTTTGCCTTTAAGCAGGAGGGCAGGTACGGATAAAGGTGTCCAGGAGGAGAATGTCACCTCTTCAGCCTGAAGGCTCCCAGCGTGGCCTACATACCACCAGTAATAAAAACAGGCCCTCCTCAGTTTTACAGTGGAGGGGAAATGGTACTTAGAGAAAGGGGATGGATGGTGGGGGAACAACCTCACACAGTACTTCAAAAATTAACTAAGTTCTTATACAACTAGCCTGAATGGAAACAGCTGAGGATAAGAAGCCTGACGGAGTTGCTCTCTCAGCAAATCTGTGGCAACAGTTCCTGCAGTTCCATCTCTCCCTCTGCTGTAGCCTCAGAGAATGGCTGCTGCAAGAATTTGCTTTGTTTCTGATGACTGGCCAGCTTGTGTGAAGCTGTTTTCTCTATTTTGTGTGAGAAACAGCTTTTGATAACTAAAGACTGGTTGAGGTTTATTCACCTCGTCCTGCGGAGAGGAAAGCCTGTTTCTACAGTCACGCTGGCTTTTGAAAACTCCTGGAAGCAGTAACATGTCTTTGCTTTAGAACACCAATGAGGCCAACTGAAAGTTCAATTGTGTCACTGCATATCTGTCCTCACAAGAAGTCCTACTCACTGCACTTACCACGAATGAGCACACTAGCGGACTGCTGATTCATAAAAAGCTATGAACTGGGAAAAGCAGCCACAACATCCTTGCCATGCCGTATGTGTATCAAGTGTAATTACCAACTAAGCCATTCAAGCAACTGCTCAGAAAACTCACTCAATGAAGGAATAAGCATGTTAAGGTTACAATCCTATGCATATTAAGGCAAAAAAACTCCCAAACATGCATAGGACTGTGCACCTAAAAAAGTTAAAGGGTCAGATGTGCTAGAAATAAGCTTCAAAGAAGGGGTCGTGGGTCAGTTCTGATTGTCCAGGAATAATTTATCTTCATCCCAAGAGACTCATTATAGGCCCACATTATAATAGTGCATCTCAGACTTGAGTGTGGTTTCTGCATATAAACAGAGAACTAAGACCAGAATTAACTGTATATGTTAATTGCACAGCACTGCTTCTTCGGTAACTGAGTTCTGGATCATACATTATTCTAGCCATCTCTCAATGTGAGCATATAGGGACAAAATAACTCACTCAACATTGGGTACAAGTTGTGTATGGGTGGCTCTTGAATCACAGTTTGTTGTATTATGTGAACACAGTGTCGCTAACAAATAATGAATGATAACCGCAAACAACTCAGCTTACAACTCAAGAAGAGTTGAATTCTCTTTGCAGGCTGCTGTGGTTAATGAGCCATGATTTGTTAGCGTAGAATAGTTCACACAATACAACTCATGGTTCAACCCATACTCAACCTTGTGAACTGGGAGCTAATTTTTACTGCCCAATCCAGATGTATCACTGTTTTGGAAAAAAAAAAAAAACTGTCTTCAAGTGTAGATGTTCTAGCTAGCTTCCATGGTATATCTCTCTCGCTCTCTCCCTCTCCCCACCCCAACTTCTGCTTATAGGCAGCACCTCTAACATCTGTTTGTCATTTTTTGCAGTAATCATTTATGCAATTATGGGAGCTAGATCAGCTATGAAGAAGGATGTTGTAAGGTTCAATCTTATTTTGATACAAAACCACAAAAGCAGCTCTTGGTCAATGCTTCTAAAAAGACAGACAATTAGAGAACAGTATAAATAAAAACTCTCATTTCATCTAAGAATGATGAGCTTGCTTTATGACACATCTCAGTCAACTCCTCCTTCAAAGATAGAATCAATTGATCATGTGGCACTAATACATAGATATCCTGATCCAGCAAAGAGAAATCTGATGTTAGAAAGGGGAGAGATCTCCCACATCCAGTTCCTGGAGTACATCAAGTTGTGTTTGTGTAATAATGAAAGAGTGAAGGTGTACTGTGTCCTTGGAGCCCCTTCTTTCAGCATTGAAAAACACTGATCGTTTATGTGATAGGAACAGAAACAATTGCAATTTCCTTAATTTCTGTATAAGAGGATAAAGGATATAAAATCTCTTGAAAGACAGATCATGTTTTCAGATAGTCTTTGAACTACACTAAGAACTGAACAAACAATTCAAGCCAAAGATGCTCTGTACAAAGGAGGCTACTACTCAGAAAAGGACTTGAGGTGGATCCTAACCTCAAGATTAGTCTCGGACCACTGTGTGATGTTTCAGAACACAGCCTGCTTCAGCTCAAATCAATATGGGGTTCATCTGTTTCAACCTGAGTACCAAGCCTAAGTTGAGATTCAGAAATCCAAGGCTTCATTCCCTCTACTATTGTGGGAAATCAAAAAATGGCTATGACATTTTATAGTTTGGTTAGAACTAGTATTTGTGGGTATAGCAGCCCCACAAGAAAGCATTAAGCATACCACCTCGTAGATTACTATGGTGCAGTGGAATTTATATTACATGTCTTTATATTTTATTCTTTTCAAATGAAATGGCTGATAACTTTTATTTCTTGGCAGAATTGGATGAAAAGTTGCAGGGATTCTCTAAGGGGAATCAAGCCTCTCAGATTTCAGAGTGAAATTTCAGGAAGTTTTGTACAAAAGCAACCCCAACATTTTGTATATATCCAAAAGGGCACACATTTATCTCCATATGTTCCTAGTAGACCAGTGTTCTGAAAATGACAGGCAACCTGGAAGTGGTCTTCAGTCAGAAATCAACAAAGTTTCAGAAGGGCAGAAGTGTAGTGGTACATATGGAAGGAGAGTCATTAATTGGGTGGGGGGGGGATTTGTTCCCTTCCCATGTGGTTTTTTTGACAATTGCTATATTTTTCGCTCTATAAGACGCACCTGACCATAAGATGCACCTAGTTTTTAGAGG